TTAGGGCTTAGGGTTTAGGCTTTATAGGGCTTATAGGGTTTAGGGTTTAGGGTTTAGGGTTAGCAGCATCTCACCGCGCACTTGGACTTATAGTGTAATCGAACTTGTTGATACCGGGCTTGCTCAAGGGGACGAGGGTGCAATCTACAGACGGTTTTGACGTGAAGATAACCTGAGAAGTTGCTCCAAAATCAACCATCTATGTGCTTGCTGAGATGTTCTGGAGAAGGCTACCCATGTCCAGACGAAATTGAGCCCAAAGACCCTACGCCTGAGCCCTGAAGAATGAACACATGGGTAGTTCTCTAACTTAGGGTCCCTTTGAGGGTCCTTTTTATAACGCTGCCGTGCTGTTTTGGGGATCTAGCCCTAAACCCTAACCCCTAAACTCTAAATCCTAACCCTAAACCCTAAACCCTAAACCTAAACCCTAAACCCGAGAACTGCGCAAATGATCTTCAGACCTCGGAAGCCATTATTAAACCCAAACACGAGCGGGGAACCTCGTAAGTTCTTTTTTTGTGGGGGATTCCTATTTTTACACGGCGTACTACCAGAAAGGACCCATCTTAAGGCCCCTTTGCTTTCTGAAACTCCCATCTTCAGGTGAGCTTGCTAGGGATTGGGATTTAGAGCTAAGGGGGTTTAGGGCTTAGGCCCAAAAAAGTTAACCTTTCGAAATATAGTAGGATTCTTTTCAGGCCCAAAAGGTTAAAGGTTACCTACTCAGCTCCTGAGAATAACAACTTGCTTTAAGAACGGATCAAGGACTCCAACGGAACTCGCAGCCGGTCGTCTGTAATCCCTGATTTCCCACCTTCCCGGTTTAGGGTTTACGGTTGTGGCGTTTTGAGGTTTAGGGCCTTAGGGTTTCAGGGTTCAGGCTTTAGGATCTAGGGCATTAGGGTTTAACTAGGATTTTGAGTTTGGGGTTTAGGGCGCAGGGTTTAAAGGGTCACCCTTCACCCCGACCCAACAGAAGATCTCTCGATCCTCAGTCCGTCCTATGCCCCGAATCCTAATTTAGTCTCCTGGTTCAGGGTTCAGGGTTTAGGGCTTAGGGTTTGGGGTTTGGGGTTTGGGGTTTGGGGTTGCGGGTGTGGGGTTTAGCACCCCGCCCTTTACTAAGGATGACAACTTAGAACGGAGATCCTAATATAAACCTAGAGACTCCAATATTCCTTAATTAAGGAAAATTCCTTAAATTATACTAGGATCCTTAATAAGCCTTAATATGATTTAAGGTATATTCCTTAATTAAGGAATATTCCTTAAATTATAGTAGGATCCTTAATATGATTTAAGGTCTATTCCTTAATTAAGGAATATTCCTTAAATTATAGTAGGATCCTTAATATGATTTAAGGTATATTCATTAAGTAATGGATATTGGAGTCTCTGGGCCCTTCAGGAAAGAGGGCTGATTAGCCCAAAGCCTCAAATCCAAGACCCGGAGCCGGAAACCCCCAAACCCTAAACTCGGGTACCGGGCGAACTCTGGTGCCAGACCGGACTTGGTGTCCATCCAGAGGTGAGCGCAGGTGGAGGTCCTGGGTGCTTTCGGGTCTAGGGGTTTGGGGTTTTGGGGTTTAGGGGTTTTAGGGATTTAGGGATTTAGGGATTTAGGGGTTTAGGGGTTTAGGGTTTAGGGGTTTTGGGTTTTAGGGGTTTAGGGATTTAGGGTTTAGGGGCTTCGGGTTTAGGGGTTTAGGGGTTTAGGGTTTAGGGGTCTAGGGTTTAGCGGTTTAGGGGTTTAGGGGTTTAGGGTTTATGGGTTTTGGGGTTTTGGCCTCAGGGGTGTAAGGGTGGAGGTCCGGGGGGCCTTTTCGGGTCTTGAGGGCATGGCTGTAGAAAAGGAAGAGTCTAAACTCAACTTCGGACCCTTGCAGAAGTTATGCTTTCAGCTGCTTCTTAGGGATTGTAGCAACCCCTAAACCCTAAACCCTTAACCCTAAACCCTTAACACAAAGATTAAGAGCTATAGCTAAGCCAGCTAAGCACCTCGGAGGCTGAGTTGTCCTCATCGTCAAAGCTCCTTTGCTTCATCCAGCAGCCGCATCAGAAGCATCAAGGCTCTCTAAGGTGCCTCCGCGAGCCACCCAGCTCTCCTCAAAGGCCCGCCCCTAAGCCCTAAACCCTAAACCCTGATACCTAAACCTAAACCCTGAACCCTAAACCCTAAACCCTAAACCGTCGATCGCGCCTCCGAGAAAGCCTCGAAGCTTTCCTCTGGCTCTCCAGCGAGTTTCATCCTAAGAGCCTTCAAGCAATTGTAGCAGCCCTATGCCGCCTGGGTAGTTGTCAAAATTATGGTCCCTTTTGGGGTACCCTAAATAATAGGTGCCGTATTATAATAAGGACCCAAAAAGGGACCATAATTTTGACAACCACCCTCTTATGTACCGAGGCTGCTACGTGCGCGGTGTGTCTGTGCCGCTTGCGTTGAATCCGCACCTGAGCTCTAGAATCCTGCACTGGGCAGCCTGAACACCATGGACCCTTGAAGCCTGAATCCTGAGTTTGGAGAAACTAAACTGGACATACTGCGAAAGACTCACAGTGAGCCCAACATCTACAGCTCAACGGAAAAAAGCTGCAGCGCCTTGAAGTAAAACCCCTAAACCCTAAACCCTAAACCACAAAGCCACCAGACCCGGACTTGAAGTAGCAGACTTAGAAAGGGTATACATAAGATAACTATAGCTATCCGTTTACAAATTAGGGTTTAGGGTTTAGGGAGTTTAGGCTACAGAGTTACATCTAGATCTACTTAAATTGCCCTCTGACTCTGACCCGAGTCACCGGGTTCCTAAGTCACCAGATCCTTTACGTAGTTTTAGGGTTAAGGTTTAGGGTTTAGGGTAACAATGACCGAAGGAACGAAACTGAGGGACCCGGACTGCAAGGAGCCCCTAAACCAAAGCCCTAAACCCTAAACCCTAAACCCTAAACCCTAAACCGGCTTATGTTTTGGGACTTAGGCCGCTTGGCCCGAAAGCATCCCAAGGTTGGCCAACCCCAGTTGTCTTAAACCCAAACCCATTGGATTAGTGTAGGGGCCTTCATAATCAGAATTGGGTTTTGGGGTATATTAGACTATAACTAATAACAAGAATAATAATAATTGAAGTAAGACAGTACAACTCTCCGAATAGTTGAACGCAAATGATAAAGGATTGTCTGTATGCTGAACCCTATAGGAACACAACATACCCTCGCACTTAAACAACAGCCGTTCGTTGGAGACAGGGATTCAAACCCGAAGACCTGAACCGTGACACACCTAAACCACAAACCACAAAACCCTAAACTCCGAAACAACTCAAGCCCGAAACTCTAAACGGTCAATCCTAAACCCTAACCCCCAAAAGCCTGAATCCTAAGCCTTAAACTGAAAACCCTAGACCCTAAACCCTAAACCCTAAACCTTAAACTGAAGCCTTAAGCACTAAACCGTCCGCTGAGGCCAGGACAATCCTGCGGCCATGCGATGCCAAGTCTCCTCAAGTGTTTACGGTTTAGGGTTTAGGGTTTAGGGTTGGTTTAGGGTTTAGGTTTAGGGTTTAGGGTTTAGGGTTTAAGGTTTAGGGTGCTTGATATCTTTTCACCAACATAAAAACAAACCCGATAACAACCACTATGACAACAAACGATGAAATAGCATGTGCACC